GTCATCTGCTCCCATTGGGGTCACACCTTCACCGCCTGCTGCCGACATGATCGTCCCAGATGTCACTTCTGTTCACGTAACCATCACTCCTCCGTCTGTGCCCAGAAAATCAAAGACCACCTCAATGGGGGAGGTGTGGGCTATGTTGTTGACCCCAAGTGTTGTAATTGTGGTGACTGGCACAATGCTGACTCACGCAATGCCCCAAACGTCCGTCTGTCCCAGGCTAAAAGCCTCCCAGGAGGCTGCGTCAACCTCAACCTCCCTCCCAGTCTATCGGGCCGCCTCCCTCTGCATCCCCTCCTCTCTCTCAAGCAACACCTCCTTCTTCAACAGCACCTGCCCCTGCCTGGCCTCACCTGGCTGCAACACAGCAGTCTCGGCCGTCTCCTAACTCAACTACTACTGGGCCTCCTCCCCATCTCTACTCTGATGCTGTCAGGCCTTGTGCTCCCACCAGTGCCCCCCCACAACCCCCCTCCGGTGACACAACACAGATCATATCCCTCTTCCACGAATTTACCAACTTTTGATATACTCTGTACCGCCATCTCCTACCTACACCGACTACCCCTGCCTTCAGCTGCTACCCAGTCACCTCCCTTTTCTGGTTTGACACAACCTAGTAGCCCCCTTGTGTGCCCCTCTTGCTCACGGCCTACTCCACCGCCACCTGGCATCACTGCTGGCGTGGCACCTACCGAGCTTGCCCCGGTGTGCCCTGCTGCCCCAGTGCCATGTCCTGCCCTGTCACCACAACACGCGGTGCCTCATTCTGTCCACCCACCACAAACTGCGCTTGCTCATGTTTCTGGGCCGTCTCCACCAGGGCCCAATATTGGACCCGAGGACACCATCCCCGGCTACCCGTCCCCTACCGGCATGCAAACACCTGGAGCCCATCCACTCCTGTTCTCCGCATCGATGGACCACCATGAGGATATGCACGTGGAATACGTATCTACGCCAAGAAGGATATCCCCTACCAACCTCTCGACGTCCCCCTTGAAGCCGACACTAAACGGTATGTCCCTTAATATTGCCTCCCTCCACCTCTACTGTACCTGTCCTACCACAACATATCACCTCCACCCCCACCCTCCTTACTTATAAGCCACTGATGACCCTGTTACCAACACCTCTTCCCTCCCTGACCAGATATCCCTCCTCCTAGAGACAGGCCTGGCACTTGACATTATTAGGGACCTGCCACACTTTGCCATAAACAGATAAATTGTACCGGGAATTTTCCCCCCCACCCACGCACTCATCATTGTCACTTTATGTAACTTGGTGACAAAACCCATGACCCTTCAGGCTTTTACGCCTTTAATGCACGAGTCATAAAGGCAAGCATGAACTACGCATGCTTCCCAGATGGGCGCTGTAAACGCTTTTGCGTTTCACCATGCACAGGATGTAAGGGGGTGCCCAATAAACTAGCCCCTCGGGGGCAAATAAACAAAAAAATAATCCAACCTCTCCACCGCTAGTGGTGAGAGCTGAACTCACTGGGTCTGGGTGCCCAGAAGAGAGTGCCTCAACTCCACCTGGGTCATCCCTTGCAGAGCCAAGCCACTCTCTGTGATGTACAGTAGCTAAAACAACTGTCTGTGCAGGTAGCGGTCGATATGCTCCGAAATTTTACTTGTGATTAGTGACAGCCCTCATATTCCAAAATTTATCGTCCATGGTCTCATATTGTTTCCCACAAAGGTCGGCCCTGGGGTCCACAACCTTCCCGACCAGTGGGACCCATCCAAGAAGGCCCCTCTTTAATATTATTGTCAACTGATTTCATAGAAGATTGGAGAAGCATACTGAAGGGTTAAGATCTTTGGTCATGTATGGTGAGCGTTGAGTAGCGTAGTGTGTAAATATTTAGGCTAATTTAAAAGTGTAAAATAGATAAATATAATTTCTTGAAAATAAATTTTTTGGGTCAACAGCACGTCACGTTAACACCAAACAAAGGATTTATTTTTAGACTAATGTTATATGTATAATGTTCACGACTGGGTCACAAGTCTCTTGACGAGGATATAAATGTACTGTACTAAAAATTCACTGAGAAAAATCAGTCTTCCATTTCCCCGTTAAAAAAAAAACATTTAGAACTTTTTACATTTTTGAAAGTGAAAGTGGGTCACGTAGGCAATACCAGGAGGCATTGTTAAGAGGCAGTACCAGGAGGCATTAGTAAGAGACAGTATCAGTAAGCATTAGTAAGAGGCAGTACAAGGAGGCATTAGTAAGAGGCAGTGCAAGGAGGCATAAGTAAGAAGCAGTACAAGGAGGCATAAGTAAGAAGCAGTACAAGGAGGCATTAGTAAGAGGCAGGGCAATAAGCTGTTAGTAAGGGGCAGTACCAGGCGGCATTAGTAAGAGGCAGTATCAGGAAGCATTAGTAAGAGACAGTACCAGAAGGTATTAGTAAGAGGCAGTACCAAGAACCAGTAGTAAGAGGCAGTACCAGGAGGCATTCTAAGAGGTAATACCAGGTGTTAGTAAGTGGCAGTACCAGGAAGTGTTAAGAGGCAGTACTAGGAGGTGTTATTAAGAGGCAGTACTAGGAGGTGTTATTAAGAGGCAGTACTAGGAGGTGTTAGTAAGAGGCAGTACTAGGAGGTGTTATTAAGAAGCAGTACTAGGAGGTGTTATTAAGAAGCAGTACCAGAAGGTGTTATTAAGAGGCAGTACTAGGAGGTGTTAGTAAGAGGCAGTACTAGGAGGTGTTAGTAAGAGGCAGTACTAGGAGGTGTTATTAAGAAGCAGTACCAGGAGGTGTTAGTAAGAGGCAGTACTAGGAGGTGTTACTAAGAGGCAGTACTAGGAGGTGTTAGTAAGAGGCAGTACTAGGAGGTGTTATTAAGAGGCAGTACTAGGAGGTGTTAGTAAGAGGCAGTACTAGGAGGTGTTATTAAGAGGCAGTACTAGGAGGTGTTATTAAGAGGCAGTACTAGGAGGTGTTAGTAAGAGGCAGTACTAGGAGGTGTTACTAAGAGGCAGTACTAGGAGGTGTTATTAAGCAGTACCAGGAGGTGTTACTAGAGGCACTAGGAGGTGTTAGTAAGAGGCAGTACTAGGAGGTGTTATTAAGAGGCGGTACTAGGAGGTGTTAGTTAGAGGCAGTACTAGGAGGTGTTAGTAAGAGGCAGTACTAGGAGGTTAAGAGGCAGTACTAGGAGGTGTTATTAAGAGGCAGTACTAGGAGGTGTTACTAGAGGCAGTACTAGGAGGTGTTAGTAAGAGGCAGTATTAGGTGTTATTAAGAGGCAGTACTAGGAGGTGTTAGTTAGAGGCAGTACTAGGAGGTGTTATTAAGAAGCAGTACCAGGAGGTGTTATTAAGAAGCAGTACTAGGAGGTGTTATTAAGAGGCAGTACTAGGAGGTGTTATTAAGAGGCGGTACTAGGTGTTATTAAGAAGCAGTACTAGGAGGTGTTATTAAGAGGCAGTACTAGGAGGTGTTAGTAAGAGGCAGTACTAGGAGGTGTTATTAAGAGGCGGTACTAGGAGGTGTTAGTTAGAGGCAGTACTAGGAGGTGTTAGTAAGAGGCAGTACTAGGAGGTGTTATTAAGAGGTGTCAGTAAGAGTAAGTAGCAGGAGGCATTAGTTAGGAGAAGTGTACATACATCTCACTGTAGTTTAAGCTCCTTTTTTCCGATACGACTGGAGGCAGCGTGGCCATCACTGCACTCGCCCACTTTCACTTCGTCAGTTGGTAAAATAGTAAAATAAAACACACGTCACCTTGATAATTTGCATACCTTCCATTTATGAAACAGTCAATCCTTAAGACCAGCGTGTGGGCAAGAATTGTTTAAGACTTTAAACAGAAGTTTTTTATATTATTGATGCAACTACCATGACAGTAACCTCGGTGGAATATGAAGTGCACAGTGAGTTTAACATCAACATAAGGAGCTTATACATAAACAGAGTGAAAGTGTTGGTGTAATAAATACACAACAAGGCAGTTAAGGTGAGTCATGATGGCACACCTGCTGTTGGGGTTGTTCACCTGGAGGCTAATGATCACTGCCACCTGTGAATACTGCTCACACACCTGTCTGACTACAACCATCACTAACACATTTGTCTCCAACCACAACCAACACTCACTCACCTTTCCAACCACAACCAACAATCACTCACCTTTCCAACCACAATCAACACTCGCACATATATTTCCGACCACAACCAACTTTCACACACCTGTCCCTTACCACAAACACCACTCACACACACACACACACACACACCTGTCCCCTACCATAATCACCACTCAAAAACCTGTCTCTTACCACAATCACATGTCCTCTACCTCAACCAACACTCACACACTTGTCCCCTACCATAATCATTCAAACACCTGTCCCTAACAATATTAAGAAACTAATATAAATATTGGTTATGTAATGATAAGAAGACAGACATAATAAATGTACAATATTTTTAACACAGGACTGATACTTTACATCCACTGAGACACTTATTACATGTTAACTAAAAATAACTATCGGTATAAACAGTATTTCGAGATCAAGGTGTGATGAAAGTGAAAGTGGGTCTCAAAGGCATGACTGCCATTTTGGAACAGTGTGGATACAGCACACTGTATACTAAGCCTTCAGTACACAAGGAGGAAGCATGGCCGGTATTGCACTTCCCCAAGTTGTACACTTAGGTATCCATTTACAGCTGGGTGAACTTGGGAGTGCTTGGGAACCGAACCACCGACCCTCGAGCCAGGAGGAGAGCACTGCATCCACTCATAAGCAGCACTCCTTCAGGTATGATAGTACATGTACAAGTTAATTCATTGTTTTGATACAGGAATAATTAACATTCTTTTATATTTTGATCAGCAGTACTTTATTGTTGGGTATTTAGCACCAGTAAAATATTTCTTGCACTTCCAATAGGCTATCAATCTCTTACAGTATGTTATTACTGTACCAATTTACTTTTTGGGGGATGAATCAACACAATGTGATTTATATAAGTTGGTTTATTGATAAAAAGTGTAAGAGTGTACAGGTATTCTCCAGGGAGTATTATTTATAGTTTATCCTATTTTGAGAAAAACAGCGAGAGAAAATTTAACTGGTACGTTACATTAAGAAATTACGGTAAAGAAAAATAAAAATTTTACAAGCGTAGTTATATCCTGAAAATGATGAAGGATTTGAATACCTTTTTTTTATTAAGTTGCTGCTACTGGCATTACAATAATAACTCACTCTCTATGCATTGATATTTATTGATACAATTATCATGCATTTCACAAGATCACAGACAAGGACTAATGTGTCTGTCTTATGAGGAACAAAATGTTGCTTCTTTCTCAAATATCTCCGAAACTAAATATAAATCAACACTTTTATGTCATTTTTCTGACAACAATTTGTAAAAAATTATATTATACAACAAAAGCTATAAAGTGACTTAAGTCCTTCTTGGTAAAACATAAAAACTGAAATATTAGTTTTCAAAAAACTTATTTGTGATGCTACATGGGTGCTCAAAACATATCCCAGTTTATTTACAGGATTCTATGAAGAAAATACCTGACGAATAGAGAAGTTGTTCACTTTTCTTATCAACCAATTGGTTTCAGTCAGCCATTAAAGCACTACTGTGTGAATTAAAATAATGGAGGCCCTTTGTCCTATTGCTGCTTCTTGGATCATCTACAGAATGCAGCATCACTTAGTAGTCTCACTGTTTCTCTACCTACACACAAACATCTAATTGACTTTTTCACTCTATATTATATTTGTTTCCCTTCCTGTACCCTTTGTGTCATTTGCTATTCCCTTCTTTTAACTTCTGAATTACATATTCTTGTTGAGGCAGCTCTAGTCCACGGAACACATTCTTTTCAGCAGAAGTGGTCATGTTTCACTATGTGACAGCCATATCAAGGTGCAGAATTCTTGACAAAACATGTTGGATATTCTTTCAACAGTGTTTAACATCTGAAGTTGACTTAATGTTCCTGGAAGATTCCACATTACGTCAACCATAAAATACTGCAATGCAAGTTCCCACATGTTATAAGGCATCAAAACATGATGAAAATCATTCAAATATACTGAAACTCAATAAGGCAAATCTGTGAATATAAAACTTCGGAAAAAGCATATATGTTATTACACTTAAATATATGATGGACAGAGAACCTAAAATAAAAACTACATTGGATAAAAATAATGTCTGTCAACATATTTGCACAACAATAACTAAATTCTCAAGTTATCATCATCTTTCTTGTCTATAACAGAAGATTCATCTGAGGAGAGGTGTAAGTGCCAATAATGCGAGTTTAAGATATTGGTATTCTGATATTCTCTGATCAATTCTCCATCGAATGGTATACTTACTTATCTGTTTGTAACTAAAAAGCTATGTAGATAAAGCCTGAGAAAAGCCCAAGGAAGCTGATTTCAAGGTGGTTTTTGATGATTTCCACAAGTTAGGTGAATACAGTCTCCAGAATGCCTATCTCCACAAGCAGGTGACAAATGTGGAGGTGAAAAGGAGCTGTGTCAATGAGAATGCGATAGCTATTGGCTAACAATGAGTGAGTGGGTGATTTTCAGATTAGTATCAGCACCACATTCAGCATTACCTGGGTTTTGAAGCCTTAGGCTTTGAAGGGTATATACATGAGTCGCTTGGAACTGGAATCAGTTTATCAGAATGTTAAAACAATTTTTCAAGACCTTGAAAAGATGAATAATTTGATGACAATTAACCCTGAACTATACAATAAGAAACCCTGTAGCCATTTTCTAAAACCAAATATCAATTCGTTAGCAAATCATACATATTCTCACCCTACTCATCTGATTAATTTTTAGTAAACATTACCACAAAGCTGGTGATGATAATATCACCATTTCTTTGTGGATTAAAAGTGGACAATTAAGTTCTGTATGATAGAGGTGATCACTTACCATTCCACCGAGTTGCAAACTAATGCTCTATAAAAATGATAACTCTTACGAAATATTAGTCCTAATCCAGATGTTACCAATAATGAATTATGTTTACACAACATTTAATTTATTTTCTTATGAATAAACTGCCTACTGGTACAGTACCAATTTATCTATCTTATATGATTCTCCTATGTCAACAACTTCTCTATATACACTTTCTTGGTCGTGTGTTTTCATTTTATCTCTTCACAAAATTATATACATTGATGTATTTTACCTTACAGTGCATAATAACTATGTCAATAAAAGTTACAGAAATTTATTTTTTTTTTAGAATATTTACAATATGTTCCACCTCTTACCAGCAAAATTTTGGGGGGATATACAGTACAGTGTAAAAATAACTATAAAGTAATTATCAAAGCATTAAAATAAAGAATAATCCTGATGGAATTCAGTATCAGCATGCATCACTCATAATGCTATTAAACGTTGCGTGGTATAATAGATATCAAATGGTTTTATTTTATTAACAACTTTTACTCAGTGGTGTTCACTTGCTGTACTGCTCCTTCATTAATACAAAATCCCTGTCCATTTGACTGTATAAAAAGCACCACAAAGAAAATACCTCAACAGTGCTCAGTATTTAGCTATGTAATTATAATATAAGAATATTGTCTCCTATAGACCCATTTACCCATGAACTTCATAACTCCACAGATCATGGAGCTTTTCCTTGGTTTTAATCAGCCTCAAATGAATTTCAAACTATTAAGCACTAATGGTATGTTGTTACCAAGACTTTCTTAAAGATTCCAATTCCAAATTAAAGGGGAAAATATGATTCATCATGCATAAAAACAAAGTTCCTTCCTAGTCTATATATTTCTTTTCCAAATAATAAATAACACATACTGTACTTAAACCATGATACAAATTTCACTGAACTTATTTACCATTAGATGATTTAAAAAATATATACTGTACTGTATATAGTATATATATATTTCAAAGAAATATCCAAATAATATTTTCTTTAATTTCTCAACAATAACCTGATAACTAGAATTCCATCATGAAAAGCTTAATGGTGTTAACTAATTTCTTCTATGATATACTTCACAACTTGAACTCACACAAATAAGTGCATTAACAAACCATCAAGACACCACAGAACAAAACTGTTTCATGAAGCAAAAAATTAAATTCAAAATAGAAAATAAGCTTGAGCAAGATTTGCACATGTTGCTATGGCTGGGCCAGCAAATGGAATTCAAACCTACAGTGAGCATGGAGCTTCACTTAGTTCAATAGCTTACTTAGACACTGTTCCAAACTTCATCTACAAGGGTAAAGAGGTTTATTTTATTCCTATAATAATAATAAGATGCAGACCACTAAAAAGAAAAATCTAAGCAACTGGAAAGATAATCAAATAAGCATGTAATATTCAGTTTGTATGGAGTAAATAAATATTCTACTGAATATGCATAAACAATGAAATAAAATTTGGCTAAGGAATGCCAAAATATTGTGTAGAGGTTGCGTATCCCTTATCCGAAATTCTTAAGTCCAAATACCCTGAAATCCGAAAGTCTATTTCATTAAATTTATGGTAGATAATACACTGAATACGGCATATATCATAATTTTCATGAGAGTAAGTATGTATGTGTAATGAATAAAGGTAAGACACAGGCTGCTTAGCACATCAGAGTCAGGTGTCATGGCAATGCCAAACAGCTGGCAGTGATTACTTACCTTTCTGGGTCTTTAGTGTACATCTTATCATATATTTTATACCCAAAATGATTAAATTATATTTCATAAAACTACCTGCAGAATATATGTATCTATATACTGTATATGAAACATAAATGAATTTTGTGCATAGACTTGGGCCTCATCCCTGCTGGGTGAGCTACTGCATTATACCCGGTACAGGTTCTGTATACAGGATATAGGTAATCCAAAATACGAGATCCTTAAGGCCCCAAGCATTTTGGATAAAGGATACCCAACCTGTATATATACAAGCATGTTAAACCAATGTTCAAGAACCCAACATTTCATATAAAATGTTATCAATATTTATACTGAACCTAAATCTTGCGACATTCTTTTCTTAAGCTTGTGTTATTTAGATTTAATGTTGAACACATATGATACAGCTTTAGGAAACATCAAAACTAACTTGACATCTTGCCTAAAACCAAATAAAAATTCTTGCACACCAATATAGTAGATGTTAAAATTCAAATTTACAGAATGAAATCACCAAATGAAGATGTAAAGCAACAGGTAAGATAAATGGAGAGAAATAATGAGAAGAATCTTCTACACAGTACAATAAAGTTTAAATGTTAGAAAGGGTTGAAATCTCCTCAGCGCAAGTGGTCTGGTCGCTGATATGTTTGGTTGGCTAGACTCTGGTGTATTGGTGGCTGGAAACAGCGAACATGTTCCACAGGCAGATTATCAGGGTCACTTGTTTTCAAATATTTATTGAGGACTGCAAAAATCTGCGAGTTGAGTACTTGGAACCGTCTGATGCGATCGCACATCCTTTTCAGTTGCTGCAGAGGGAGAAGAGAAGTAATAAATATTAGTGAATTCACAAAAATGTTAACTACTCAATATCCTTTATCCATCTCTAGCTATACAGGATGGACTAGTCTGCACATTTAACCTCACAAAAAATAATAAAATCTACTGCCAGTGAGATTCATCTCTGCTCACACAGTAGTTCTATTTTCAAAGAATTACTCAGCACTAGGCAAGGTTTCTTGCTATTCTTCTCATATACAATGGAGACATGTTTTTAACAAATTGGGTTACTGACTCAATCTATTTCTTACATTATTTACCTCTGTTTCTTACCTTCAAATACATTATTGCACATTTGCATTATTACTACTAAATATTTGTTCCACATGTCCATACCATCTTACTATTCTTTTATCCATGTATCTATGAATGGCATTCTTCATATATTGTATGCATAGTATTGGCACCAGATAAAAGCCAAATTTCATCTGGCTAAAACATGGTCAATCAGTAAAGAATCACTTAACTACATGACCTGTAGCATAAAAGCAATTACAGGTAGATGGAACAGGACAGCATGACCACATCTCATCCATGGGTAAAGTATTCAATCCCAATTAATCCTCCTGAGGATAGGAAATTTAATCTGAGCATACGTTACCACACTACATGGGTGAAGTAACACATGTTTGGGTTACCACACTTGAGATGGGTTACTTCCTCATCCTGGCTAGTTATCTTACTGCTGGAGTTGTCCTAAACTTCCAACTCCTACTTGATCAAACCCAACTGTTGATTTACAAAGATTTCATTCTCACTGCCTCTTCCACTCATCCTTCTTATCAAGATAGTAAAATCAAGGGCCCTGCTGACTTTGACAGGATGAATAACAGATAACAGAAATCAAATTCTAGGAATTTTCCAGATTTTCCAGGCCATTTTTCATTATTTTCCAGGCAAGTATTAAGGCATTTAGACAATTATGGTGTGAACTAAACAAAAAAAATTATTTTTTTTATTGGTCCCCTGAAAGGAACCATATTTCAATCCTGTGCAGGAAACATAACACACAAACCAAAGAACATAGTGATAATTGTTAATGAAAACAGTAGTGAAACTATGGGTATATATCTATATTCTGTCATCTAATTCTGATAAAAGTTTTATCAGTGTTGATTATTTTCCTGTGTATTTCTCAAAAATCATCCTCAGAATGAACTTTTTCCAGGCATACAACCAAATTCCAGGCATTTTCCAGGTTTTTCAGGCAGCTATTTACCCTTTTTGAGGACCTTGAGTTGAGAAAATATCACTCAACTTCCTTCTCTTCCTCCTCACATAAAATGTAGCCAATATGGGATTGGAATTTACTGTACTTGTAAGCAACTGTGATTTCTTACTTACCTCTTTTGAAGGACCAGAGTTGCTACTCGGTAAAGGGCTAATCTCTGGATTATTGACCCAACTGTCATATTTTAGGGCTTATTTAGGCTCCTAAGCCTGAGTATACAACAAGCATAGTATTCCTTCTAGACAGGCTAAGGTTATAGAAACAAATATTACAAACAACATCTTAGCCAAATTACATGGAGCTAAGCTACACCAAAACGAAGAAAAGATAAACTACTTACAATTCCCTTGATTGGTTCATCCTTGCCATCTACTTTCTGCACACGAAGGATGTGGTAGCAAAAATCAAGAGCCTCAAATCTTCGTTGTTGACTCAAAAGAACAATCATGCAGCAGCCAGCCCAGTTCAGACCCTCACCAAATAGTTGCCTGTATAAATACAAGTGTAATAGCACACAAAACAATACCCAACATCATTAAGCTTAATTAAACAAATTATGGATATAAACATATTTTGCAGGACTTCAGGTAACAATACAGTATACAGAAATGCACATTATGTTTCATTAGTTTTTCCCACTCATGCCTCTGTCTTTTCCTAAATCCTTCTTTTTTTCCTGTTTGTGTACCAATGATGAGGCAACCTTAAACTTTTGTAAAATTTCTCTTGTCACAGTTCTCTAACCCAACCAGAGTGGAGAATCCCCCACAACTGCAACTGGCTGAAAAGGACCAAGAACTTAACCCAATCGAATTCAAGTGGTGAACAACCCAGAGGACCAAAGCAGATTGAAACTGTTCTAGTGTAAAATGAAGAGTTCCCTTTTATATAACTAATAAATCATAAATCAAATAAACGTAGTAGCTCCCCAAGACAGGAGTAGCAAACTAGCTACGCATTTATCAAACTGTTATTGAAATGAGCCCAGGTTTATTTTGTACCATTGAGAACAATGTAAAAGACTGTAATGAAACTTTTATTTAACCTCCTGGGTGTTATCTGAGAGGAGCCTTGTGTTGGTCTTACATGCTGAATAGATGTGTGTTTTGGTGGATGATGTAGTCAAGATTATGAGAAAAGGGGAGAGCCCACACTACTCTCACTAACAACTCAACAGAGAGGACCAGTTATCAGGACCCCTGAAGGGTCCTTCCACAATTGTTGTTCAAATGCAAAACAGCACACACTGTTTCCTAGGAGAAAATACAGTGTAATGTACAGGCCTTATCAATCCAAAGATGTGAATTACATTGATTCTCCTCATAAACAAGCTTGGTAAATGTAACACCACCTGAACCATAAGAATTGTTGAAATAACACTCATCCTGCAATGTTACCTTGCCAATAAACATGCTAGAGTCTGGCCAGCATAAAATATCCATTGAAAATAACAGAATAGACCACAGTCCAGTCACTTTGATTGGTTACCCACAGCACAGAGTGAGATGAATCCTGACGTATATAAACAATTCCAAATGATGTAAGAGTACAAAAAAATTCATTTTTACTGTAAAAATTCCAGTAACTGTGTGGCTGAGTTCAATCTCATTGCCAATGAGGATGTACAGTACTTATTTCTAAATACTGTAGATGAACAGTCAGTCTGACATGACTTTCCTTGGGGAGGTTAAAGTTCAAGAGCTTAGAAAGTTAGGCAAGATGCAATATGCTCCTTCTCGGAAACAGGGCAAGCAAGAAGACATCTGCATAGCTCTGAACAATGGCCATAACTGAATGGATTGATGATATGATGATAAGAATTTTAAAATAGCCAACCTGTCCAAGTGGTAGGTGAGGTGTGCACATGCTAGTGTGACATCACAACTTGTTAGTCTCCAACCTTAAGCATTATGGTTTATTTAATGCCCCTTTTCAATGGCTATGGTTGCAACAGGTGGGAAAGTACAGTATATTCAACTGGTTCGTTTCAACATCTCATGTCAAAGGTTTATAAGTTTTTCTAACCCACTGTCCTAGTGGGTAATACACAAGATGCTTAATGAAAGGACCTAGACCATAAACACGAAATATCAATTTTATATCCACATGAAGTTTTAACTTAATTAACATGACATGTTTAAGCTATTTCAATCCTGAAAGAAGTTCATACATAACCTTTATATTCTATATCAATAAAGTATTAAAAATAAATAATTAAATATACTGCTGAATACTTATAGAATTCTTTTATCTTCATCCTAAATATTTTAAAAAACATGTGGGCAACTAAATAAAAACATACTCCAATCACTTCTGTCACTGTAAAATGCTCACAGCAATATTTAAAATTTATGTACAGCACACAAAATTTCCTCCTTACTCGACAGTGAAGTTGTTAGTTCCAACAGGAATACACATGACAAACTGGAGAGCAGACCACAACCGATGGAACTCTGTACATTCATCCACGTTCATTACACCATTAGCAGGAGGGGATCCATGCCATATAGGATCTTCCAAGAAAGCTTGAATTCTAGTTAGAATAACCTGGAAGTATAATAAAATTAAACAAATTTCTTCAATGAAATTTAAAAAAAAAAATCCATTTTAATTGTCCTTCAGCTATTTTCCTGAGAACTAGACTGTTATGTATCAAGAACAAACACACATTAGAAAGGTCTGATAGTCAAATTCCAATACTGTATCTAATTCTAAAAGTCTAGCCTTGCATTTAGGCATACCTGTACTCAACAGAATTTACTGTCCTTACCTCAAAAATAGAGAGGCCACAGCATAACCTCTCTCTCGTCAACAAATCTCCCTCTCTGGCAATCATTGCTTGCTGCAACACAAAGTAATCACACATTAAGAAAAAAATAGCAGCATATATAAATGCATTTTTGCTATTCTCAAGTTATATTTGGGAAGACAATACTGGAGACCACACATTTTTTTATCATTTGAAAGAAAGAAATGGAATAGGATATGACAGCAGAGAAACACATGGATATCACAATTAAAAATGAAGGATGGGATATACAGTATTATGGGAAAAGATGAAGTAAAGTGGAGAAAGGGAAAATATTTTGAGCATTTCCTTGTTGTCATAATTTTTTTATCGTGGTAATTCAACACATTCTGGATGTCTTCATATATATGAGAATGGTACTTTGATTGATTGATTGGTCTCACTTAAATAGGTAAAACAATTATATTTACGAAAAACAAATTATTCAAATACAGAGCTGAAAATGTTGGTTATTACATAATAACATTTTTCACTCTCACTCACTCACCTTTGCAGTTCCAAGTCTTTCAATGTTGGCCACAATCTGAAGAGGAGCATATTTGGCTTCTAGTCGCTTTTGTTTGGTTTCTGGTTTCTCCCCCTCTGTAAAGTAGTGTTAAGTAAACCAACTTTCACATACAATTTTATATTTATCAATAGGTGCAGGTTAAAGAAAAAAGTTTGAATCTATAGGTGCCTGTAGGTGTCCATGACATTCAACACACTGTTTCCACACGACAAAGCCATCTTATAAAGATCCAAGGCACAGTAGCAGAAGCTAAAAATGTAGATGCGTTTCCAACCACACCTGGATCTCTCAATTTCCAGAGAGAAAAGGTTCTTTCATTTGGATGTTGCCATTCAAGGCAAGAAAGACCAAACAAGTTTTATATAGTCACTCTTCAGACCATTTTCTGTCTATCTTGATTATAGAAAATGGGATGTCCTTATCAGCTTCTGGACAGAGCCTTAGCTCTTAGCTATAGCTGCTCCCAGACCACACCAGAGAGAGGTGGGCAGGAAAACTGAATTGTTCAACTGCTTTTGAAAGTAAAAAGATATTTCAGAATCAATCCCTCAATTATGGTCTACAACTCACAAACAACCCTATGATACAGAAGGTAGATGAATCTCAGGAGGAACTGGAAGTTGAGTTGGTGGTTAAAAAAGAAGATAAAAAGGATACTATAGTAATGGTTAACAACAATTAGGAAGTTAATCAACTCCTAGTTACTTCCTTTCTCTACTTGTGACTGGAAAGAAAAAGAAGCCTTTTTTCAATATCAGGGAAAAACATTCCTTGAAGTTTGAAACATAAAGAAGCTCCTTTACATGATTTCCAAGCCCTGTTATTTATTTCTGAGATAAACGTTCAAAATGACTTAATCTTATCCATGATTCAAAGTGATCACATCACTTAGTACTAATATGGCATCCCCTTTAGTATAAAACTCTTTGTTGGTATTTCAGTGTTTTTAGGATCAAACTTCGCTTTCATTTCTTGATTACTAAGAGAATTGTGAGATTATCTAAGGCTTTAAAGGTATTTTCTGAGAACTTTCTTATTAAATAACTTTTAAGAATTCTTTAAAATATTTCATCTATTCTAATTGCAATACAGGTTGGACCCCGCTAATCCAGGACTTGATAGTCAGGCAGCTTTGATGGTACGGGATGCATATAGTGAATACTTAATTTTATGGGAAAAATTAGGATATGTTCCACAACTACTAAAAGTCAACAGAAATGCTATAAAAGTTGTGGAAAAATCATTACAAGTATCACAACCTGTACTCAAATGTACTAAGTTAATTACTAAAAATTTTATGTCTAGTGCAAACTATGGAATGCTAATACTCAAATTAATCACCACCATGCAAGAATTCCAGCAATACAAGTTATATTCTGCGAAGTTAAGTCAGTGACATTTTATAAGCAAAAAACTTAAACTACCTGTCTTTTATAAACCCGAGTCCCTCTTGACCCCTTAACTGATAACTACGCACCACCCTGGCTCCTGGCTGTCAACACCCCACCTCCCCCTCCTCCCAGCCCACAGGGGAAGCAGATGGCAGTGGGTGATAATGATTAATGGGATGAAGGTAGTTTTAGGCTTATAGTTTTTATCTTACAAAATGTCACAGACTAAACTTAGCAGAATATAACTTGCACTGTGATTAATTTGAGTATAAACACCTCATAGTTTGCACAAGAGATAAATTTTTTAGTCTTTTAGCTAAGTACATTTGAGTACAGATATGTTGCTCAAAATTATGTTTTTTTTTTTCACAGGGAAAGGTCTGTATAACTAACCCCAGTGGTCAGAATTTTATGATGTTGAATGTTACAGAGTATTTCAAATAAACTCTTTGTTTAGTTCTGTACATACTGTATATGCAAATGCCCCTACAGTGAATGGCATAAAGGAAGGGTCCAGTGTACAGTACACTTGTACCATAGCACTAACACTTTGTCATAAAGAGGTCCAGTAAGTCTGGGCTAGATTTATGCTGATGTAAGTTGCATTGGTACCAGTAATAGTACACTTTATGCATTATTTTGCCTTTCTTTAACCTCGGCTTCGATGGTTTGGAATTTTCATTAATCTGGAACCGGTCTGGTCCCAAACTTCCCGGATTAGCGAGATCCAACTTGTACAATGTCAGCTCACTCTCTTTCACAATAAAAGTGCGTTATTGAGAAGTTAAGCTAGCACTTATGAATTTAACTGATCAGGGGATTTCAGTGAGTATAAAGACTGATTCATTACCCACCTCAAAAAAAAAATGAACAGTAGACCCTTGCCATTCATGATTTCGACAATTCACAGTAAGCAGATGGTAGCTATGATGGCTAGCTTGCAAGCCTTTTCCCGCAGCACGAGTCACTCCATGCAGCATCTCGTGTTGTACTCTCAAAACATCAGTGTTTCTGTGTGAAATGGCCCCTAAGAGACTGCCTAGTGTCAGTGCTAATGATGCTAGTGGAGTGAAATGTAAAAGGCAGAAGTCAGTGATGACCCTGACAAAGAAAGTTTTGTCACTAGACAAGTTAAGAGAGGGGATGAGTGCTGCCACGGCTGGTCGGTTGTTTGGTACTGTATAAGTATACAGTAGTGCACTAAGGTAGTATAAGTTGCTATTCACAGTTTTGCCTATTCATGCCATTTCTTGGAACCTATCCCTCACGAATGGTAAGGGTCTACTGTACTCACCAAAAATCCTTGATTACAGCTCATATTGATTCTTTATATCTTCAGAAAAAAATTAAAAGAAAATATTTCATAAATTCTTGTCTTCAAGGTTTTTCACAATGACTGCTTAGAACTCACCTTTGCAAAATGGCCTGGGCAAAATATTTTGGAAGGGTGCTGCCTGAAGAAGATCACATACTTCCTCCAGTGTCAATGATTGTTCTATTAACAGACAGAAGAGCAGTGCATTGCCCAATTCCCGAAAATGGTGGAAAAGGTCAGCTCTTGCATCTGGGTACTGTACAATATCGTTGAGCTGTGCATGGTAGTAACCCAAGACACCTGTAGGAATAAGTTTCTTTGAAAAATGTTGTTTCATGGGATGACAACTTCAGTGATGTAAATAACATAAAAAAATTCAAAGACAAACCTCCATAATTAAAATCCTCAAAATAATATTATAATTTAGGTGAATCTTCATCTTAATGCCTGTACTGTATCAACCTCATGCCCTTTATACTATTGACTGTGTTCTTGTTTTAATAGCAAAATATCAATCACAGTTAAACATATTTTCATTAACTTAGTGCATACATCAAAAGTTTCTAGTGAATATAGATAACTATTATGTAAGAGATAAGTACAGTACACAGTTTACTAACACTCATACCCACTGTTACACTCAGTCATTCACCACAGAATTTTCCTGGGACTCCAAACCTGTGACTGTGCCTTAAAATCTTTCATCTCTTAACCCGTTTACGTCATTAACAACACCTTTTGCGACAAATGCAAATCAAGAAGACCACACTGAAGTTTTATGCTCTAATAAAAGATACATCAAAACAAGGTACCTATCATTTAACACTAATAAAAAACTTGTTACACAAAAACATGCCTGCAAAGCCTGACATGAACACTGTCCCAACATAAATAGCAAATACAACAAGTGTTGACAGTAGGTTGATGTCAGGAGAAATACTAGTTAGAGAGTGAAGTCTCTATTTATACCTACAAGGAGTCCAAGATGAAAGTGAACTAGCTTCTAGATTAATATCTAGTATACCTGTTGACTCACTTAATTTTGAAGCATAGCCAGACCAGGGTTGGAGCTGAAGCCTTATCAGCTAAACAAGAAACTATAAAGCAGCTATTGACATTGGCCTAAAAGAACAATGCAATCTTACATTAGAACCAAATTCCATGAACAAGGTAGATTCTTGCAGGGTATATCTCAAAAAACCTATAATCATAAAAAACTATACTGTACCTGGAGATCCATAGTCATATCTGGGAAGCTTGCACTGCTTTGGCATAGCTTGAAGAAGTGTTTTAGTGAACTGAAGAATATTCCCCTGAATGAGAGAATGAATGATCTCAAGCAGCTCCTGCATCACAACAGCAATGCCCTGGTATCCTAAAACACGCACAATAGACCGCAAGTGTGGTGGCCCAAGGAAACCTGTAAATATCATGAATAAAATAAATATATTACTTAAATTCAACTAACCAAAAAAATCATTATAATATATGTGTACATAGGACAAAAACAAAATTTGTACCATGACAGGAGAAAAGTTCACTTATAAACAATCATGAGATCACAAATATGTCTTCTGGTAAAAGTCATCATGGCTCTGATCCATGAAGGAAATACATGTACTACTACAGATGAAGTTCTACGCTTTAAGTGCTTTGCAGCTCTCAGGGATTTAACACATTTTTTTTTATTTCATTTTACTTTAAATAAACAAGTGATAGAGAGTATTCCAGAGAAAGGATCTTACCAGAGTACTGTGAGTATATAGTAGTGTAGGCAACATTTAGTGCTTTGCTTCCCCACACCATGTAGGGAGCAACATTTGGGGGTTTATCTCTTTGTACAGCCTGAGCAAATGTA